ATAAAACCACTCTCGTAAAAGCTTGTGTTCACATAGGATTTTTTTTTCTGCCAAACCAGGACTTTTCATAAAAAGGCTCTCCCTCTTGGAGCATCGACTGGAGCTTACAGCTGTCTCATAAAAGCACTAAATTTACTAGCATTGTTCTGGAGGATCTGCACCTGAAATGGGCCTTACTACAGCAGCAGTACTAGCATTTTTAACAGGAGCCTTTTTAAAAAGGCTTTACAGTAAAGGTCCGAAAAGTCCGAATGGTCTTTCTTGTCACACACTGACTTTCTCTTTGAAAAATGAAAAGCTAGGCATGCAGCATAAAGGCTGTACAAACTTTTTAGAACTCAACATTTTACATGTTTGTTTCCAATGTGGAGAGGGTACAAGACTTTTAGATGGGTAAAAACATTTATGCTTCATTATGGAATTTAACAAAAATCATGTAAAACAATCAACACTACAGAAAGTATCTTAATGATAGTTATTTCTCTCATCCAGTATGGGTAACGGTTTATGTGGAGCTTGTGTGCAAAAGAATCAAATAGACTTCTTTTTTAAATCACATTTATCTCTGATAATGTAGCCCGTTTATACCTACAGCTGTAAACATGTAGACACACTCGCTCACCTCATTTCCATAAAGCATTTGCATATTGCTTTCTTCTTTTTTTTCTCTCCTCACACAAACGCATGCTTATGGCTCCGCACCCACCCCTGAACACACATGTATACCACGTCACTTGTTTCGGACACACAACACATTGCAGGAGCACGGAAAACCTCCAGTGTGTGTGAGGCTGCATCAGAGGCCAGGAGCAGAGTATAAAACAGTAGGGATTCTGGGAGAGGCGTGGGTGATGTGTGGGAGGACCATATGCATTTCATCAGGGACTGATGAAAACACATAATCGCTCACTTAATCACACACTGCATTGTCACATTAAAAAAACGGAGGAAGAAGCCATTCTTTTGCTTGTTCTTGCACACACACGCATGAAAGTCTGCACAGGTTTCAGATGGTACGCACCAATGGAATCTTAATTCCTTCTCAAAACCTGTTTGTGATCAAAAATAAATAAATAAACAACAAAGGTTTTCTATTAACTGGTCGTGCAGCCGGGAGCCGAAAGAGAAAGCTGGCATACTGCCATCTTGTGGTAGTGGTGGTAGTAACTTCTTCTCAATACATATTTTAAGGTAACACATCTGATGGGCAAAACCTAGGATAAGATCAGTAGCCTTCATTTAGTATTTTGTTGTCCTTCAAATGATGCACCACAGCACAAAACTGCTGTGTCTCAGGTGTCACTTCAATAATGTGTTGCCACTGCCGAGAGAAAAACGTTGCGTGTACTGGGGTGTGTAAAATTACCAACAAATCATTATTGAATATGCAGTTCGATAACCCCGAAAGCTGCATTTCTAGCATTTATTGACTAATTATTTGGAATGAAAGCTAATGTTTACTGTGCCATAAAGTGTCCTCAACTGTTAACATTCTTTTATGAGTTTCAAATGTGCCTGGAGTGATTGGGTTGTGCAGCATGGGAGAATAACATGAGTAAATGCTTTTGGTTGTCTTAAATGAGCATATTGATGTATTGATGTGTGATGCGGACACACACACACACACACACACACACACACACACACACACACACACACACACACACACACACACACACACACATCTGATCTCTCTCTCTCTCAGTTGGCTAAGGCGCAGCTTGTACTGTCCTTGGTGTGTGACGGAACAAGCTTTCCTCTCTGAGCGGCAAAATCAGAATTCACCAGAGCTGATGGGTTCGTGCCTGAGGGGAATTCTGGGAGATTTAAAAACGCTGAGTCCCTAATCGATCTCAGCACACTTATTCTGCTGTCTCTCTTGAATCTTTGTCTTTATCCCATTTCTCTTTCAACATCATTACACTGTGGTTGCAGATAGAGATAGATGATGAGATCCCAGCCTTTTCCATTTGAAGAAGCATTTGTTACCTTGTCGTTTCTTGTGGGAAATAAATTCAAAGCTGTTGTTGGAAAAAATCTTTATCCCTTTCTTCTTTTGTCAGTTTTTGCTTGAAAAAGAGAAAGATCAAACACGTGTCTTAGTTGGCACCATCAAAAACTCATAGGTACCAATATTTTTTTTCTTAACAGACTTGTCTTTGTCCGTATAAATAAATTATTCCAGTCAGGAATTTTGGTCTAAAGGTACATACACATAGGGCATGACATTAAAACTCCAGACCCAGGGCTCTGACATCTGTTGCCTAATGACAGATAATTGCATGCTGTCGGACAATCATCAGCTGTTGCAGCGAAGAAACCGAGTTTAACATGAGTGGTGCAGCCAGGTTGGAACCAAAGGTAGCTGCTCCTTTATTTTTGCTTGAAGACATTTTTCCAGAACACGTTGCTGTTAAATCAATTGTTTTTGTAGTTTCTCATAAAGGATGGTCATTTTTTATTCAATGGTTCATAAAAAAATCATAAAATAGCTGTCAGCAACTCAGGGTTGTTTTGACAGCACAATTGTGACTGTAAAATAGCAAGTAGCTGATTATAAAATAACTGTAAAAATTTTCTTTGTTAAACTTTTTCTAACAAACCTAAACCATTTGAATCTATAATAAGCATTTGCTCCAGTGTTTTGTTTTCTGATACACACACCGCTCAGTCTGTCTTCAGTTAGGTATCCTGTTGGTTTGACAGATTTTGTCCTTTTTACTGGAGACCCTAGACTACAGCTCCATGCTGTCAAGCATCTGCTCTCTTTTAGTCTAATTGGACAGTTTGAGCATTTGAAAATTATAGTCACTGGGCATTTATTGCTACTGTGATCAGCAGCAATATTTATTTCAGTCAGTAAAACAATTAGCAGCATCTCACTAACGTGTTGTTATTGGATGCTCTCTATGGTGGTCTTCTGTCTAACTTTAGGGTGGTAGAAATTTGTTATTCTGGAGGGCAGTTTATTGTATTATTTAGATTCATTAAACTTTCACATATTGTCCACATTGTGCTGATGCTGCTGTGTCGCTGCTGCTTCCACACCTAATCCTTAGCAACATGGCCGACACCTCTGCTGCAGGCAGCTCCCATCTGGTTGGCTGGTGTGTTTTGTTGTCACCTCACAGGGGAATCAACAATGCCAACATCACATTGGGTCCAATTAGAGAGGCATCCTAAACAGGCCTTGGATGTTTGTGAAAGAGCAGTGAGTGTCATGGAGCTGAGTGATGTTATTCTTAACTGAATGGAGAGTGAAACGACTTTGGTCAATGATGACGTTAGTCCAGAATAAACACACGTTTTGGGCTGACCATCACTCTAGCTGCCCCCTTTTACATTTTTTAAGATAGAAAAGACTGTTTTATTGCCCAGTTTCCCGTTATACTCAAACATGATCACCCCGTCTAAAAAAATCCATCTATGTTCAACAACTAACTTGAGGATCCATCATCTAGACACATGCATTGAAACAATGACAATAATGTCAGCATGCGATGGATGGCAGAACAATATGACACACGTTTAAACTTCAATTCAAAGATCAATTTTTAAAAAAATGAAGCTGTCAGCATTTTTCTCTCCCCTAAAGCACAAGAGTTTGAGTTGTGCCCCTCTCATATTTATGCTAGTAAGCTCTACAGCTGGGTTTGATTGTTTTGCAAGCTTGACGGTCTTAATGAGGCCACAGAAGAGTTTTTCCTACTTAACTTTCTGTTGTGGTAGAGTTTCAGTGGGAATCAATGAAGGATTTAGAGCGGGTTTAAGTTCCTCGCTCACTCGGTCTCTTCCTTGGTTACTTTGACACACAAGGATACTACACACACACACACACACACACACACACACACACACACTCACACACACACACACACACACACACACACACACACACACACACACACACACACACACACACACACACACACACACACACACACACTTTCCTTTTTTGTTTCTGACTAATTGGGAACAGACACTGAGTGGTGTCCTATGCCATCTCCTTTATTTTTTCTTTAAATATTTTGTTTTTAGGTCATATTTGTTTACATGTAGCTATCAATCAATAATCCACCTTCTGTGATCTATATAGCATAACCTATCGGTCCTTGTTTGTCTGCTCTGCAGCATCCACTAAAGCTCAAAAACAGCTCTCCCAGAAGTGGAGTTGTTATATTTTTTTCTTCTTTTTGTTTTAAATTGCCATGTCCAACCAAATGCCTCTCTGGACTCATCTTTGTAGCATCACTTTGGCGTTAAGTTCATCTTTTCAGTTTTTTCACAATTTTGTCACCTAAAACATTTTTCTTGTCTTAGTGTGGGTCATACATTCAATGTCTCCCAGGTCAGAGAATTCTTTTGCGAAGGGTTTGATTTATTTGTGCATTTATATGGACTGAGCGCTTGAGAAAGCACTTACTCTTGCATGCTTTGCTCTGTGGTGTGTGTGAGACAAGGCCAGTGACCAGTGATTCACTGATAAACGACATGCGCATGTGCCTCTACAAACCCATACATAACTGTCTGACCCTCTGTGATACAACCAGACATCAGTTTTCCAGAAAACTCCAGAGCATTATCGCTTATTGGTTCTTATTATTAACACTGTGCATTGCTTTGATTTGACCAATCAGTTTACCTCATATTTAATGAGATTTTTATTTTCTTTGTCTATTGCTGCACATGTTCACCACTGCATGCTGACATTTGGGTTACCTCTTATAACTAAAGTCTTACTATAATGTCTCTGAAAAGCTCCACTGGAGCAGTTTAGGTTAACTGCCTTTTACAAAGACACCTTGAGAGGCATTTATAGCTTTCCTAAATTAGCTCCCATGGCAGACCTTTAGCCACCAGTTTTTGCTGGACCAGCAACGCTTCTGTCCTCCACCTCTTTGCTACCATGACAGCATTCTGAATTGCCAAGGTGCAAATTGGTCACTTTTCACAGATGTTATTCATAATTTTTTTTATGTTTTTAAATCTTTCTTTTCCAGATTCATTCAGGAGGTGGAGACAAACATGGGGCCAGGTCAAGCCAAACAGTGCCAGCTCCGAGCTTTTCTCACCTACTACATTCATGACCTTTTTCTCAACCAGGTTAGTGAACGAGTCAGTAATGGTTTGTATAAAATCTAGAAAATTACCTTAAATTGCTAGCCTGGCAAGCCATCCTATAAATGTAAATACAGGTCCTTCTAAAAAAATTAGCATATTGTGATAAAGTTCATTATTGTCTGTAATGTACTGATAAACATTAGACTTTCATATATATTAGATTCATTACACACAACTGAAGTAATTCAAGCCTTTTATTGTTTCTAATATTGATGAGTTTGGCATACAGCTCATGAAAACCCAAAATTCCTATCTCAAAAAATTAACATATCATGAAAAGGTTCTCTAAACGAGCTACTAACCTAATCATCTGAATCAACTAATGAACTCTAAACACCTGCAAAAGATTCCTGAGGCTTTTAAAAACTCCCAGCCTGGTTCATTACTCTAAATCGCAATCATGGGTATGACTGCCGACTGCTGTCCAGAAGGCCATCATTGACACCCTCAAGCAAGAGGGTAAGACAGAAAGAAATTTCTGAACGAATAGGCCGTTCCCAGAGTGCTGTATCAAGGCACCTCAGTGGGAAGTCTGTGGGAAGGAAAAAGTGTGGCAGAAAACGCTGCACAACGAGAAGAGGTGACCGGACCCTGAGGAAGATTGTGGAGAAGGACCGATTCCAGACCTTGGGGGACCTGCAGAAGCAGTTGACTAGAGTCTGGAGTGGAAACATCCAGAGCCACCGTGTACAGGCATGTGCAGGAGATGGGCTACAGGTGCCACATTTCCCAGGTCAAGCCACTTTTGAACCAGAAACCTGACCTGGGCTACAGAGAAGCAGCACTGGACTGTTGCTCAGTGGTCCAAAAGTAATTTTTTCGGATGAAAGCAAATTTTGCATGTCATTCAGAAATCAAGGTGCCAGAGTCTGGAGGAAGACTGGGCAGAGGGAAATGCCAAAAGGCCTGAAGTCCAGTGTCAAGTACCTACAGTCAGTGATGGTCTGGGGTGCCATGTCAGCTGCTGGTGTTGGTCCACTGTGTTTGATCGAGGGCAGGGTCATTGCAGCTAGCTATCAGGAGATTTTGGAGCACTTCATGCTTCCATCTGCTGAAAAGCTTTATGGAGATGAAGATTTCATTTTTCAGCACACCCTGGCACCTGCTCACAGTGCCAAAACCACTGGTAAATGGTTTACTGACCATGGTATTACCGTGCTCAATTGGCCTGCCAACTCTCCTGACCAGAACCCCATAGAGAATCTGTGGGATTTTGTGAAGAGAAAGTTGAGAGACGCAAGACCCAACACTCTGGATGAGCTTAAGGCTGCTATCGAAGCATCCTGGGCCTCCATAACACCTCAGCAGTGCCACAGGCTGATTGCCTCCATGCCATGCTGCACTGAAGCAGTCATTTCTGCAAAAGGATTCCCGACCAAGTATTGAGTGCATAACTGAACATAATTATTTGAAGGTTGACTTTTTTGTATTAAAAACACTTTTCTTTTATTGGTCGAATGAAATATGCACATTTTTTTAGATAGGAATTTGGGGTTTTCACGAGCTGTATGCCAAAATCATCAATATTAGAAACAGTAAAAGGCTTGAACTACTTCGGTTGTGTGTAATGAATCTAATATATATGAAAGTCTAATGTTTATCAGTACATTACAGACAATAATGAACTTCATCACAATATGCTAATTTGCTCAGCTGTGGGCGGGATCTATGGTTGTCTTTCAAACTCTCTGCATACTATTGGAAATCAAACAACGTGATGTATCTACCGCTACGGCTGTCAAGCAACAATGCAATATGCCATTCTCTGTCAAAGAAGATGCAAGCACACCCTTTTTCTAAATAAACTTAAGTTCCTCTATCTGCTCTTGACTCAAAGTAAAGCCCAAGTCAGAATAGTCCAATGTTAATGCCAAAGCCGTCTCCTACAAGTTGTCGCCATCTTTGTTTGTTCAGTAAGATCCTGCCCACCAACAGAGTGCTATGATTAGCCCAGCAAACCAATAGAGCACTGTGATTGGATGGTTACGGATGTCAGTCAACGGGACAGTCCACCACATACGAGGAAGACAAAAATACATTGTTTTTTTCTAAATTAGCTGTGATTGGTCAGCCACAATTCTTTCCCGGGCTGTGGAGGTTCCAATTGAGTGTTGCTTGACCAACATGCAAAGCAAAATGACGTTGCCTGACTTGCATGACACTCTAGATTTTAGGCTATTGAATTGCCGTAATTAGTTGGAATATTATAATTCACCACAAGCATGTAAATAAACCTTCATATTACCTTTTTTATTACCTTTTTTTTTAATTCAAACTTTTCCCACTGAATATTCAGGTGCGGACAGAGATCAACAAGGAAATTGAGGCAGTCAGTAAGGTTGCTGACCCCTTGAAGATTCTTGCCAGTGCTGATACCATGAAACTCCTGGGCCTTCAGAGACCAGTGCTGCAGGTAAAGAACAAAACATTCACTGTGTATGGAATGTTCGGTAGTGATTTTTTTTTCCAGATACTTTTGATACTGGTCTATCAGTCATAAATTATAATGTGAATGCTTCCAGTACTTTTAATTCTTCCTCCTTCTATGAGACATCAAACTGAGCCTTACTAATATCAAACTGTTTTGTGACACATTTTCACAACCTTCCATGCAGACACAATTTATTTCACACCTATTCTCGTGTGAGTTGTTAGAGAAGCTTAAAAAACACACCGTACCTGTTTGTTTGGCACCGTTTCCCCCTCGTAACCTTGTTCAATGGAGGACGTGTCTCTTGTGTACATTCACTTTTTAGTTCTCTGCTCTTTCACACAAAGTCGTACTCCCCATACCCTCAGTTTCTCCTCCCGCCTGTCATAAAGATTTATACAGATTAAATAGTTTTTGATGTTTTTTAAGGTTGAATTTGATGCTAATGTATGTTTTCCCTTCTGAACAAAACAAAAACGCACTCAAACATTTTTTTGGAAATACATCACGTGCCCTTTGTGACCTGGCCATAACAAGCATCAAACAGAAAATTAGCACATTTTCTCGCAATTTGCTAACTGCTAGCATTAGCATTATCCAATCTGCCTTTAGTTTCACTTTTGTTCCCAAACGTTGTACCATTTCTGCCTTTTACAATGGTTAGTATCTTTGCTGTTTCTTTATTTTCCTCCACAGCACATGGATTGCCATATTGTGTGCCAATTAAATGTGTTCAGACTGTGGTTAACACATTTAACGAAGCCTTGAATCAGTAAAAAAAATTCAAGAAATTTATGAATTGAACAATATGAAGATGTCTTTTCAGCCCTTATATATGTATGCTTGTCTGTATGTATGTATGTATGTATATATATATATATATATATATATATATATATATATATATATATATATATATATATATATACCATCTCCAACTCAACCTCTCTAAAACTGAACTACTTGTCGTCCCAGCAAAACCATCCATACAGCACAATATCTCAATCCAAAATGACTTTCTATCTCTGGCTCCTTCAAAGGCAGTTTGAAATCTGGGTGTTGTGATTGATGAACACCTGACCTTTAAAGATCATGTTGCCTCTGTTGCTCCTTCATGCCGCTTTGCGCTGTATAACATACGAAAAACCAGACCATACTTAACACAACATGCCACCCAGCTCCTGGTGCAATCTACTGTCATCTCCCGCCTCGATTACTGCAATGCCCTTCTAACTGGTCTTCCAGGCAGTACTGTGAGACCTCTTCAAATGGTCCAGAACGCAGCGGCGCGTCTGGTCTTCAATCGGCCAAAAAGAGCACACGTCACCCCTCTGTTCATTGAGTTCCAATGGCTACCGCTAGCTGCATGCATCAAATTCAAATTGCTAGCACTAGCATGCAAAGTCCGAGATGGTACGGCTCCCATCTACCTGAATCCTCTTGCAAAGGCTTACGTCTCGGCCCGGCCGCTCCGGTCATCACAGGATCGTCGGCTAGCAGTGCCTACACCACGCTCAGGACAATCCAGACTCTTCTCATGCATCGTTCCACAAATGTGGAATGACCTACCAAGCACTACAAGAACAGGAGCTTCCTTTTCGACTTTCAAGAAACTCCTGAAGACCCTGCTCTTCAGAGAGCATCTTCTTAATTAGCACCCTCCCTGCACCCGTCCCCCTCTCTACTGTCCACTCCTTGTTCCCACCTCTCCATCATTCATCATGCTGCCTCCCTGCCACCTACGACTGACTGGAAATTGGTTTTTGTTGTTGTTGTTGTAATTGTTGTTGTTAGCCTCAAAGGTAACATACCTATAATCACTTGTAACTCACTTTGGACAAAAGCGTCTGCTAAATACATAAACATAAGCATATACATATATATATGTAGCGGTGAGGATTGACTACATATTTGTTAAGTGATCGATAAGATGTGATATTCCATATAAAATATGAAATATGAATCTGATTGATCTTTGAATGTTTGATTTAGATTGCTCTAGGTTCTTTGGCTATTCAGGGA